AACTGTAATTATATTATACATAGAAAAAATATTTTATCCAACCTTTGTAATCAGATTCCATTTTAATAACTCTATGGCATATGTTTCCTGTGTTGGCATGATAAAAATTTAGTGGCAGATGACTTTTTATATAGGAGGTTGCACCTAAAATCATAACCAAGTGGGCTAACCTAATAGTGCACAAAGGGTGCGCCTACACATACAATTAATGCTATTTGGCTTTACTGCACAGTAAATTTACTACCAAGTAGACTAATTTCCTACACAATAAGTGCCTGCATGTTTAGGTAGTGATGCTTTACTGTGCAGTAGATTTGTTTACTGTGCAGTGAAGTGTCTCATGTAGACACGGCCAAAATGCTCTAGAGCAGCATGTCTTTTAGGATACTAGAATCCAGAACTTGGAGAAGAGAACTGTAGCCAGGACTGCTACCCAGCTCAATTCCCAACATTAGTCAAGCTGACAACATTTTGTTTCACACTGCTTTTGCTCTTATCAGAAATTAATTAAAATTTTCAACATCATAAATATCTATTTCTAGTTTTCCCCAGGTCTTGACATGCTACAGATCACCCCACTCCTTTGTCTTGGTTTCAAATCCAACTTATGTAAATTGAATTCATTTTGCCCACTTAGTAGACTCAAGAAATAAGTAAAATTAAGTTTTAAAAACTGAATCATACAACAGAAACATGAACTTATTGACCTTTCTATTCTCCTGAGTTGGTTTGCTTTTGTCTTGCAAAATCTGAAGTCCTTTCCCCTTAGAAACAAGCAGCCTTGATTCTATTTTGATACATGGTAGGCAACCGCCGATGCTCTGGATCTTAGTGTACACAGAAGAGGTCTAGTCAGGTGCCTGATGAATCTGCTTGTATGGAGTCCTGCGACTATCACATCAAGACCTTTGACGCATATGCCCAGGCAAGAGTATGGAGGAGTGCAGACTGCCCAAGACCTACCATCTCCCTTTAGACCATCGAAACAGAATGCAAAGGCCAGACCAAATCCAGACGTTCGGTGCCTTTATGGTTGTAGCTTCTGCCAGAGAGCAACAAATAAAAATTTCTGCTGACTACCTAATGCCTCGGCGAGGTCGCGCTTGTCAGGTGTCCCTTAGCCTTTGTCCAACCAAGGAGTACCCACTAGGCAGTGGGGGCTAAGATTTTGAGGTGTCCTATACTCACCTCACTCTGGAAGTTGCAACATTGTGGTATTTTATAGGAGCTACCCTGCCATGAGTAGCCCCACCACATTGCCACCAGGCCGTCCAGTCAGATGCAGTTTATGGTCATACCTAGGATACACGCTTTGTAAATTATCATGCATTTTACTGTGTAAAAGAGGAGACATGGTTAAGTACAAGCAAACTGTGACTCTAATCAATGTCAGCATGATCTTTTTTCTCTTAGGCAACAGTAGTATTTCTACGTGAGTTTTCTTTAGAAAAAAATGCAGGCAGCCACTCTAACACACTTATATTTTCTTGTCTGCCACTGTGTGGCGGTATTGTAAAATTTGCTACTTGAACCAGATTGCATGCAGTCTCAGCCTTGCAGCTGGCATAGAAAACACCTTGGCTTATTAAATGACTTCAGTTAACTGGCTAGGCCAACTGAATGGGTATTCCAGGAGGCAATTCAACAGACTATACTTATAAAAATAAAGGCCCAAAAAGATCACCCAAATGCCACTGCAAATGGTATAACATTTAGCATGCTGTATTAAATCACGTCTTAAATGAAAGCAGAATACAAGCAAGCTACTGTTAAAAAAAATCATATTTAAATTACGCTTGTAAGGTAAAGGTTTACTTATGTATTGTAGCCTATGTCAATAAAAATTACAAGGAGTACAAGAGTCATTATGAGAGGTTCTGAAATGTGTTAGGAATGGTAGTTTGAAGATGACTTATGGTGCCTTGGTTTTACCTTTGCCATCTTGAGGGGGGGAGGTATTTTTTTCTTTTGCAAATAAAGAACTTTGATTTTAAGAATAACTTGGTTCCCTGTGGTTTCACAGCATTATTGCTCACATCATTCCTTCTTCCTGTTGCCCCAAAATCATCTTCCTCAGTATCATTCAGATAACAACATCCATAGCTTTCAATTCTGCTACTCTTGTTATTGCCCACAGCATAAAGTTCACATTATTTAATCCCATGTGCAAAGACTTTACATATTTCTATTTTGTATCTGTGACTCCAATTTCCCGTCTCCGACTGGCAATGTCAAGATGTTGTCAGACTTGCAGTACCCACTTGATTCTTCCTCCCGTTGCTATTTTTTTTACCACTTAAATATGGGACAGATTCCTAATGCAAATTTAACCGGCTTCCCACAGTATTTCATTATAATAATCCTTCTTTAAAACTCACTGAGCTGTGAAAGCACTTGGAAGCCACTCAGAATTATTGTACCTAAATAACAGAATATCACAATATGCAGTAACTTACTTTCCTTACCTACCCTAATTACCTTCCTCTTGGCACCGCCTAACATTAGATAGATGTACTCTGGGGCAGGGAACTCTCCTCTTTAAAGCGATACACCTAATTTTGCCACCATAAAAATTACGGATTGAAAAACCCCAAATGGATGTGCTCATGGCTTAGTTGAAATTGGTCGTCAAAAATTTAGTTCAGACTAAAACAGAAGTTATGTAGGTTTGGTGCAGTTCTTTTGCAAGAGACTGAGGAGGAACCTTGTGTGTTACACACGATGCTTTTGTTTTCCATGTCTACAATTTTTTCAGGCTTTACTTTGAGAAGTGCAAGTCATTTATCAATATCCAAGCCTCAGGCATGATGGGGGCTTTTGCTTTTTATAGGCTTTGAAGCAGGGGTGTCAGACATGGCCCCCCAGGCCAGATCTGACCTGTGGAGCTACTCTCTCCCGGTCGCAACAAAATCCTTTGACATGCATCTCCTTATTTCCTTATCTTAAACTGTCTCATGGTTTCAGCAATCAGCAACCCTGTTGTAGCGCCAGCCATACCTGGTTTCTATCAGCAGGTTTTTCAGATTTACATGGTTTTAGTTGGAAGATATGGGATACTTCTAGCAGCTTTTCATGGCACCATAAATATAGCCATTCCACAGCACTTGACATTAGGACATTCTTGCCTTTAACTGGCTTCCACAAGATCCTGATGAGCCCAGATGTACCTTTTTTGCACAGGCCTCTCTTGAAATTGCATTTAGTTTTTAGTACTGCATGGTTTGAAATCCAACATCTATACATATAGCCCTGCCTATGGAGTGTCCAACAGACATGTAGGAATTTTCTGCCATGCAGCAGCTGGGGTGAGTTTGGAGTACCCAACATGAATATTGTTAGATCCAACCAGGAACAGGGACATCACCTACGGAAAACTGCAGAAAACCTTATTTGGATGAGGTGAGGTCAGCACAAATTCACTAATGGCTTCAGGGGTTTTCCTGATGTTTATCAGACAAACAGCAATTTCATTTTTTGCACAGGGGTGTTTTATTAGGTAACATAAAATAAGAAGCCTTAATTCTATATAAATGGGAGACTGGTATATTGGAAAGGTTTTCCCATCTACTCCTTGAAAAAGGGTCCCTTGTATGAGTGGTATGGGTATGAACACAATATTAACTCTATGAGATGTATGGATTTTTGTGGGTGACATCTTTTACTGGACCAACTGCCTGGTTGGGATAAGCTTTCAAATGCAAGACATTCTTTATCAGGTTCCATGTAGTCCAATAAAAGATATCCACAAAAATCCATGCCTCTGGCATATTTTTTGTACCATCATAGTGACAACATCACTCCAACACTATCAAAATATGTAAATTCTGTAGCATATAAATGGCTCCCTTCCAGAAGAAACCTTATGCATCCCTGAACAAACTAGAAGTTACTTCTGTAGCATTTAAAAAAAAAAGGTATTTAATTTTTCAGTCTTTGTAGCACAAGCTCATCTAGGAAGTAGCTTACATCATAACAACTAGCTCCTTCACCAGCTGCATTTTGTTTGAGGCAATTCTAACATTAAAAAAAATGGAAAAATGTTTACAAGATAACCAACTTAACTTTGGGGGATTTAGAGGAGAGGGGAAACAGCACATGCTTCCCAATTCACTAGAAGCCCTTCTGTTCTAGTCTACATTAACACTGTCTTCAAAATTTCCTACTATGGCATGACCCACATGGGACAACTCCACCGGTGGCAGCAACTGTGGAATTTGTTAGCATAGGCAGGCAACAAAATTGCGAAGACCATTTAAATTACTATTCTGATTGTTTTAAAGGGTCCCAAAAAGATAGAACTATGGTAACCATTTCACTGCAGTTTTCTCTTTGCCATCCTCAGTCTGATCCTACAGTCAACATATTTATCAACAACCAGAGAAGTAAAAACCCCCTAATTTTATGTAATTACAAAAACACAAATAATCCTCTACTACAGATTAAAAATATTCAAACAATTAATAAAATGTATGCCACACCAATTCCCTCAGTAGTTACAAAATAGAATTAGAAAACTAATATTTATTAATCAATTTAAATTTTAATATACATTTCAAGAACGTGGCAGCATAAAAGGAAGCTTGTTTAAAAAAACAACCTGAATTTACCATTTGCAATGTTACATTAACGATCAGGGCTCCCCTATCAATGGTTCCAAAACACTTCAACTATATCTCCAAGTATTAGAACCATATTTAATGTAGCAGTAAAATTAAAATAAAAAATTCCAAATGACTCCACATTTAGGGAGCAGTGGGTATTCATGTATGTCATTTAGAGGCCTAGTAAACGCACTAGCAACAATCTCAGCAAAACTTAACAGCTTTGCGAAGTGTTCGGAAACTAGCCATGCTACTCAGTCTCACTTTAATAAAATCCATTAGTGATTTTTTTTCCTTTTACATATAGTGGAATAACAAACAGATTTACATTACTAGGTCAAACCACCAAAAGGCAGAAAACGGCAGGAACTTCTTGGTCAACACAAAATCACATACAAATTTAACTAAATACGTTTTTAATAGGACATCATGAAACTTTAAGGAGGATAAGAACACAGAATTCAGGTCCTTGGGTTGGCAAATAAAGACAAGAATACTATGAAGCATTTTCCACCATTTACTCATTATCAAAAATATTTTTCAACTCTTCTTGCAAAACAAAAAACAAAAAAGTACAGACTGGACACATACATCACATTTTTCTTCCTATGGCTTTAACCCCCCACCCCCACCCTGCCCCACCCTACAAAAATGACAGGGGAAAAAAACCAAACCAAAAACCAACAAAAAATAAAAAATAAAAAAAAATCTGACCACATTCACAAAAAATGACACCATGGTACACTATGAAACAAAGGGAGGTGTCATTTAATTATTGTCCAAAGGATTTTTGCTTCTTGCTTAGACAGGTGAATAACCGTCATTGTAGGTGCTGTGTGCCAAATCAAAAATATACCTAACATTATGTCATAATGCACAGGAAATGGCATGTAATGAATTAAAAAAGATGGCAGCCATCAAGGATTTTGAAAAATTCTACTGCTAATTTTTCTTTAGACATGCTGTTAAAATAGGAAGTCCTTTTGTATTTGAGTCAGCCAATGTTTTATCGCATCACTTTAGAGATTAGACACCCCTCTCTGCTTCCCTCCCTGAAGAAGTTTGACAAAGAATAGTTAAAAATGCAAACAAAAAAAGCCAGTCAAGATGCTGTCAGGTGCTCTACATGGAGAGCAGCAATCTTCTTAATCTACCCCTATTTTCAGGTATTAACTTGGAAATAAATAATTTTTGCACAAAAAGGTTACATTTATAGAGGCGTTTAGCCACACCCACTCTTGCAATGTTCTGTTGTGAACAGAATACTTACCTGGTGTTGAAACTGTCCCAAAGCCCCAGTATCCAGAGTGGAACCAGCATGCTTTTTCTAACGGCTAATGAAATTAATTTTACCCTGTATCCAACTTCTGTCTGGACTGAGGGGCAACGGGACATTTTCCTGGTGTGGAGAGATCCCAAATGCATCACAATTAAACACCGTTAACCTCCTTTATAACTGAGCCAAGGAAGAAAGGAACCAATGGTGGTAAATGCTGTATAAACCTGGATGTATTATGGGCATTAATTATTGGAACAAAAAAAACTAACCCAGAGCAGATGCACCTTTTTTGCTATATTCTCCTCTCAAGGTATGGCAAGCAGGTGCCAATGAAAGCAGTGGGAACTACATGGGTGTGTGCTTGTAAGATCTGAACCTTCTTCATACATGTTATTTCCCCAAAATGAACAGTAACAGGTAAAAGGAGTTAGGAACAAAAAGTTAAAATATACCTGTGACATAACCTAGAAAGTTCTTCGGAGAAAAAGTGAATAAAGCTACTACACCGAGGCTTACGTATTGGAGAATTTTGAGTGACACTAGAGTAATGTTTGGAACCCAGTTGACAGAATTTCCAACCTGCTGCTCAGAAATTAGCTTTACTGATTTTTAGATGACTATGATCTAGATAACCAATTCTCATGATCAGAAGTGAGATGTTGTCATTCAATGACTGCATTCATTCCTCAGCTTAACACTGTTTTCTACAGAAACAGGATGTGCTTTTCTAGCAACACTGACTCCCTAAGTACTCAAGAATTACTTCTGTACATTATAAACTAGCCCAACTTTGACAGACTGCCTAGGCTCCACACTTCTTTCCATTTAGTTGGAAGCTTTGATTGTGCACAAAGCATGAACTGGTACAATGAGGTTAATGTTTTCCTCACCAAAAATCATTTTGTATTAAAATCATTTACATCAGCAGTTGATCTCAAACTATGAGGTGCTGTAAGAACTAAGGACAGTTTTAGGGTAACTCCTCCGTTATCTGCAAACTATTTCCCAGACACTAACACACATAACATAGCAATGAAAAACACTTGATACAAGTGATCTAATTGCAGGAGCTCCAGCAAGTTAAACAGAACCATAGCTGCCTTAAAACTGTAGCAGTTCCCCTACTAAGGGCAGGGAAAAGACAGAAAATGATTTAACAGTCATATCTCATGTCTATAGCTTCATCCAAACTTTTATCATCGTGTGTACTGGCAGCTAAATATGTAGTTACTGGTGACCCTGTCACATTAATTACACTGGTGCTTGTGCTGGCGTTCCGCACAGCAATGCTTGTCACATTAATGCCCAAAGTAAGCCTAGTCTGCTCCAAGGCCTTTTCTGGCACTGCAAATGCCTCCAGCTTCTTTTCCCCATTAGCCATGTATGAGTTTTGGCAGCCACGGCATATGCAGTCTAAGCAGGCTTTACGGTTCGAGTAACAAGGGCAGCGTTGGCCACGGCATGTAAGAACACTTGGATTTTGGGTGGCACGACCACATTTACACCCCTTCTTTTCTTGTGGCTTCTTGTACACAGTTTTTGTCGGACTTCCTGGCATAACATTACTGCTAGGAACCTTTTCCTTTGCTTTGTCTTTTGTTTTCAGCATTCCTGGTTTGGCTTTCGGGTGGGATTTTTTTGCGGGGTGTTCAAGGTTCTTTTTCAGGCTCTTGTTGGACAGGAGTACAGTTTTACTGATTTTGGGAGTTGTGCCTCCATTGGGAACAGTTGCTACAGGCTGCAAAGACATTTTATTTTCCTGTTTCACTGTTACAGGAGCTGATGCTCCCAAGGTTGGGCCACAGAGGATGCTGGAAATTGGGAGGGGTTGAACCTTTTCACTGTCACTTTCTGATCGGGATCGCTTCCTGTTTAACTTAACTACCTTAGGTGTTGCTGCTGTGCACGAGATCCCATGAGGTGAAGCACCTGTTGACATGAAAACACTATGGCTAAGAGATGGGGGGGAAAGCTGCAGAAAAGGACTGGCTTCCAAGCTGGGCTGCAAATTAGAAGCACAGACTTCAGTGTTCGAAACAGTTTCTAAGCTCCGGAGCACTTCCTCAACACTCAGCAAGAGAGAGCCACCAGGTTTTATATCTTCCGTGAAACTGCAGATGTCAATGCCTGTTGTACACAAGTCACTGGTCGGCACTGTATCACACACAGGCTGCAGGCTGCTTGAGAGATCTTCAGTTTTTATATACTCTCCAGCACTGCATACATCAATCGTATTTGCATGTTCAGGAGAAGGAATATTAACTCCAAGTTTATCAACCGAAAGCCCATTACAATTGGGCAACCCATTGATAACAGAACTCCTAATATCAATATTGTGTGTGCTTTCAGATATTGAAGAAAAACCAGCTTGAGGGTCATTTGTATGTTCTGAGGTTGTAGGAACGGGGGAATGTGTCACACCCAAAGCATCAGAAGTCTTTTCTGTGTCTTCGTGGAGTGGTGATCCATCTTTGAGCAAAGCCAAAAGATCAGAACAGTCCACTGCTTGTATTATGTCTCGTGCCAAGGGAGTTTGTGTTATGTACTCGCACAGTTTTTTATAGCAGTTTACTAGAATGCTTAGCTGCTTATTTTCCTCAAACTGTTCATAGTCTTTGCACCAACTACAGGATGGTTTCATCATCATCTTCTTGCCTTTACAAGTTTTGCAGACATAATGTTGACACGTGGAGTTGGTGGGAGCAATGGGGTCTTGGAGCAAATTTCCTAAGGGGGGGGAAAAAAAAAAGTTAGAGAGACCAGGTGCTACACGCTGCCAGGATAAAAATAAGAGGAACTTCCTACTGACACAGCTCTAGAAATCACATGAACAGCATTCAGTCCTAAAGTCAAGTCTGGAAAACACTGTGGCTGTGTGAACAACATGAAATGTCAGAGGGCTTGTCAACCGCTGATGTATTCACAGTCTTCAAAGAGTACTGTAGTAAAAAACTATTTCTCTATTTCAAAGAGAAAAAAATAAGACTGAGAACTGATGTACTGTTACCTTGTTAACTTAACCTTCAGAATATATCAGCATATCTCTCTTCTACACTGTCTTTACCTCAACATGGCAACATAATAAACAACATTCTTCTATATTAGCCAAGATATTTATTTAGACTCAAAATCATAGACAAGTAGGACTGGAGGACCTCAGGCAATCATACGGTCCAAAAGTCTGCTTAAGACAGGATTGTCCCTACCTATTCAATACAAGTGGTTGTCTAGCCCAGTGGTGCTTATCCTATAGGACACAGGCCAGAAACAACCCATTAAGTGACATGATCCAACCTGAAACACAGGGAAGAAGTTCAGCCCAGTGTGTCCTGTACCCTGCCCTGCGCCATGTCACTGATCCCTTCTCGAGATCCCCCTGCTTTCTCCCTCCCCTCCCTCTGACATAAGCATCCGCCTTCCTCCCCACTCTCCTCTTCCTCCCCACTACTGGAGGGGCGTGGTGGCCTGTTCCCAACCAACTGCTCTACAAGACTGAGTTCCACTGGTTGAACTATTCTTAAAATGACACAAGCAACCGTCTTGCACTACTACCAAAAATGTTGTCCCAAAACACCAAGAACACCTTAACCTGCCACAGGCAAAGCAGGGGGTTGAAGGCACTCTCAATGTCTTTCTACTGCAAGACAGGAAGTGGCTGTTAAAAAACACTTGAGAGACAGGGAGGAGGACCATGGCTCTGCTACAAAGAATGGCAAAACCCCCAACAGTCCATGATGATCTGTTTCACTACGAGGTAAAATTCTTTCCTGATCCCAAACAAGGCAATTGGTCTGATCCTGAGCAGAGGGTCCTGTCCCTAACCAGAAACCTCTGAGATTTTTTAGCCCCAACAGGAGCATGGGAATACCTCAGTTAAAATTCCCACCTCTGGATGTAGCCAATGCCTCTTAGGAAAGAGAGAGAGAAAAAAAGACACCTGTAGCAAGAAGAGAGTGAAAAATTTCTGGACCATCACAGTTACATCACATCACTTTCACACTACCTTTACACACAAAGGGCAATCCAGCAGAGAAACCAATTATCTTTGAAAGAGTCACCCAGGTACCTTGCAGTAACCTCCAATGCAAGAACCCCTCACCCCTGTGATCACACAGCCTGGTGAACCCCTGCCGCTCCACACTGGAACTGATTAGAACACAGGTCAAATATATGGCCCAAGGGTCACATTGGTCCCACGGAGCCCCATTATCCAAACTCTGGTGCTGCCCCGGCTTTAAATTGACTCAGACTGGCTCCAGGGACAGGGCCTGGGATGTACATCACACATCTCAGCTGGGGCAGCATGCCATGTGCAGCACAGGTCAGGTCTCAGACTGGCTGCTCCAGGATGCATGCTACATGTAGAACAGATCCTGGAGCAGCCACTGGATTCAGCATGGGGGAACAAGAGCCAGGGTCATTAATCTAGCCTGCTGGGGGAGGGGGCAGATAAATTGACACCCCTGGATTGGAAGAATCATCAATTACAGCCATACTCAGCAAAGATCAGCTATTGAGAGAAACATTCCCAGCCCCTTCGCTCCTGTCTTTCAAATAGCCCCCTAACCTCCCAATCCATCATCATTCAGAAGCCAAATCAACTCACCAATATCAGAAAACTCTTCATCATCAACAGACAAAAGGGACACAGCCTTGCCTTAACAATAGATGCTTAACCTGTCAACCCAGACATCACCACTAAAACAATCACCTCCCACTCCCCCCCCCGCCCAATGAACCCAGCAGAATTCAGATCCTAAACATCTTTCCCAAAACATGATAGCTGATCCAACGCACCAAATACCCATGGGCAGGCAAGGGTCTTTGAGTAGATGTCCTTAGACCAGCACAGCTACAACCAACAAGCCCCAAATACCCATGGTAACTACTTGGGTGAAAATGAACAGGAACTATGCACCACAGTGAACTCACAGGAAGAATACAAAGGACAGAGAGACACAAATGCCAGAAGAAAAATATTTTTCATAGCATAGCCACTTGCTTTCTGACCTCATTATCCTTGCGCACAAGGGAAACCTACCAAACACCTTTAAAATACAAGTTTGGGAACAAAAATTCATAAACTGGCTGGACACTAAGAACCAAGGACTGAACAATAATAATGACTTTATGGTAAACTATTATTTCCCTGATTCCTGAAATTCTTTGTTCACTCTTTTCCCTTTTGATAAGTCTTGATCTCCCATTAATCAATTTTTTCTTCTGCTAACTGTCTGCTATCCCTGGGCATTGCTCCTCTCTCCAATTTCACAGCCCTATCCACTGTTTTAATCATCACTGTGCTAGCTGCTTTCCTCAGAACTGATAAGAATGCCTTACATTCAAAAGCTTACCTAGCTTTATCCTAATCACGCAGTTGGTCCAATAGAAGAGATCACCCACAAAAATCCTTGCCTCTAGCATAATTCCTGGACCATCACAGCTATCTCTCTCCAATACTGTACTACTAAAAGCACAGTATTCACTATCCTCCTGTTTAAAAAGTTTTATTCATCCAGTAGAACTAGAAAAAAGTCATATGTCAGTGACTAGGCACACATTTTCAACAATGCACTGCAGAGGTTTTACTTATAAAACAAGCCAAAAAATGGAATTTGTCCATGTGAATATTTACAAATATATCACAGATCATTTGCAAAAACTGAAAAGGAAATCAATGACTAGTATGGGCAAGTGACTTTTGCCGGGACAGGAGACACAAGGCCCTAACATACCCTGAAAAACATAGATAAACTCTACTATCTACCCTCAGGTGGACAAACATTAGAGAAAGGCTATTTGAAAGCATTAACATTTCAAAGCACTCAAGAAGCAAAAAGAAGAAACAGACCTTCCAGATCTTCCTCATGGAAAGAAAAAGCAATTGATACTGGAATGAAAATCACTGGATGTACTTGGTAAAATAGCCTGAGAAATTTGGGATTCACATAACATTTGGAGACCTGAAGACATGATTAAAACATAAGTCCCCACCCAATTAGCGGTCAGAAAAGGGTAAACAGCACGTAACTGAAATATGTAGCTGTTAACAGGATTCCAATATTAGCTAAGATAAAAAAAACTAAAAAAAATAGAAGCAGGAGAAGAAAAATAAGCAATTACCATTGGAGGAAAAGTGGCACAAAGCAAGTAACAACACAGTTAAATATGACCGTTGATATTGCTAACAAGACTGAGATGAGAGCGCACGGCAAGTTACATACATTCGCAATACAAAGAGCATTTAGGGGCTCCATGTGTAAAGCCAACATATAATCATGAAGGAAATAGCATGGACCTTCTCCACAGCTCATAAAAAAGACACATAAGGAATATGGTATTTTTGGACATCTCATTTCCAGAAAAATATAGATTACCTTGAGGGAGTTCAGAAAGAGCAAACCTTATTGTAACTAGAGAGAAGAAAGAATTTAGAGTAAAGTTAGAAGACTGTTTAAGTGTGAAGCAGGTAAATAAGATGTAAAATTATGTTTCCAATTTCATGAAAATGTAAAACAATAAAAAAAAAAGAGGGATTTTTTTTTCAGCTGGAAGAAATGAAAGGGTAAAACAACTTTATAATAAGAATGAACACAAACTGAAATTCCTGAAATTATGCATACTAATACTTTTCAGAAGGAAGTGATCCAAGCAATAATAGTTGCACGCCAGGAAATTATGTGCAGAAAATTTCAAAATCATGCACAATTGATTACTTTTAATTATTATTATTATTATTATTTTATTTTTATTTTTTTACAACTTAAACTAAATATAACACTATTTCAACCTTCTTTATATGCAGGTACTTGTGTGGGGGAGGGTTGAGGTATGTGGGGAAGGTTGTGAAGGGGGGCAAGGGTATAGATATGGGAGCATGTGGGGGACAGGGTGTGGGAGGATTGTGAGGTGGTGTGGGTGGGTGTGGATATGGGAATGTATGGGGTTTGTGGAGGGGTGGGTCCCAGCCACACTCCCCCCTCCAGCACAGCCCCCGAGGAACATGTCCCCCCAGCACAGTTCCCAACCACCAGACACAGCCCCCTGCCTGTTACATGCCCTGCTTCCCCGCCACCCTGCACACAGTTCCCAGGCCCTTGGGCACTCCTGGCCACAGCAGGTAGAGCCCCCCTGGCAGCACATAGCTTCAGTGAATCCTGGAGGCTGCACAGAGCTGGCGTGGCCCAGCCTGCTGGCACATACCTTCAGGCCAGACTGGGCTGGCTCCATGCCAGCACACAGGGCTCATGGCACTGCAGGCAGGAGCCATATGCAGGCCCTAGGATTCGCTGGAGCCACATGCCGCTGCCGGCTGTGCCCAGCCAAGAGTACTCCGAGGGCCCACTGCCTGCTGCTGCTGTCACCATGGCAGAGGCTGTACACCATAGGGTGTGGGGGGCCCCACTCACCCACAAACCCCACACACACTCCCACAACCCTCCCCCTGCAGGCAGGAGGTCCCCTTCCCCTCACCAGCTACACCACGGCGAACTACACGATAGTACGTGATTATTTGCAGTTACAAGTTTTATATGCAAAATTACGCAGGCACATAATTACGTAATTCCCTGGGGTGTAAATAGTTACATTCCTTTATATTCTGGTCAGCATTTTCTCAGAAAGATTTTCCTACCTGTAAATTAAATTTCAGAGATTCCCCTTTTAGTCTGGATTTCTGACTGATTGACTGATCAATCATCAAAGCTAAAAGCAGCTTTTCCCTGATG